AAGTAAAATTGCAAGCAATTTTTTTCAGCTTTTATCCTTTCCTAGCTCAAACAACAAGATCATGAGCAGATGTTAAAGGCATTGTCTTGGGGGAAACAGACCATTTGTCAGACATCTATTTGTATAACCCTAATCATTTAATTTGCATTCTTACAGCTATATGTATGCTTACATAACCCACAACTTATCTGGTGATTCTTAGGCTGTCAGTCAGACACCAATTATTTTGTACTACTATTACCTCCAACACCACTAAAAGACCATAGTGACTTTTTTTTTTAACCAATATCCTTGATGTCAGAAAAAACATTTTGTCAAAACATCCTCATATACTTCCCTACATTCCTATGACTAAAAGCTTTTCAATCCACTAAATTAAACATACTTTCTTGCCTGATCACCCAATTAACAGAAAATAAATCCTATTTTCTGTCGCAAGCCATCTATTTTCTTTTCCACTATGTTAACTAAAAAAGCTCAGAATCATCTGAGTTTTCCATGGCTATAATTATTTTCAATTTACACCATTACAACCACCCAGGAACACTAAGTTGCTCAGCATTTTCCCAGCATATGTAGGAGATTATAGCATTAAAATGATCTAAATATATATATATATATATATCTCCAGGTCAAACTGTAGCTGCTTCCAGTGCAGAGAAAGTAAATATAAACACAGCTAAATCAGCCAACACTAGTGAGATATTTGTATAACAATAATAGTACAGCTCACAAACACAGATGCAACCCTGCTTGAAATCAGGGCCTTTATCTCTGTCAAATTCAAAAATGCACTTGTCTTTCCCTCTGAAAACCTTGGAAATTTAAAGGTAGAACTCCTAAGCACAATTGTTGATACTTTACAACTAGACAGCATATTTTCATTTTCAGGATCTCAAAGGGCATATGCTTCCAAGAAAAACAGATAAGTTATCTGTCGCAGAGAAGAGCAAACCTAGACAAAATTAATAAGATTAGTAGCTCAAAGTCACTCAAAGTGAAAATGCCAGACTGAGGAACACAAATTACTCCAATAAAACGTACAACTTCCCAAGCAGTACCACTGGAATTATGGAATTATTCAAGAGTTTTAGAGCAACTACACACACAGAAATACTTTGAATTTGAATACTCAGGTTCACGACACAAAAACAAAAACTCCTCCTGCCTCAAAAGGAAAAGGCAGCATGGCAACTGGTATTGCATTCAGAGCTTTCCCTTACGCTTAAACAGATACACAGAGAAGTGACTTTATATAACTGTTTTCCTTCAGCGCTAAGCTTGCCACACCTGAAAGTAGAAGCTTTCAGAAGCTCAGAAACCTTTTTCTTCAGTCACCACAGAAACTCATAGAGGAACTCTGAGGATTTGTTCTCCTGTTTTAAGCAGGGCATTTACATATGAATTACACACCAAATTCCTTTAGTCTCATAAACTGCTCTGGACTTCCACGAAGTAAATACTGCTTCTTCACTATCATCCTCATTTTGCTGTTCTTTGTTGTCTTAACAAAAAGAGCCCTATCTCTTAAAACATCAAGCATAATGGCAAATCCATCTCTCGCTTTTGAGTCTTCACTTAAAAGTAAAGGTTTGGAAATACAAACTTACATTTCAGGAGATTCTGGATTCCTCGATTTTCTGCCAGACAGGGCTGCTTGTTAGCCAGCTGCCATATGTGAGTATTAGTGCAGTGATATGTGCTGGTCAAGAGAACATCTGATGCAACTCAGTTGATTCTCAAAGACATAAAGCACTGCATGTAAGAGCCTGCAGAAGTGGCTGTTGTTAAGGGCCGGGCTGCAAGACCCAAATACCAAATTATTTCCTATTACTATCAATCACCGCCAGTTAAAAAAAATAAACAAACATACCAAGGCTAAAAGCATCGCCAGAGTTACTTAGGTGTTTCCCACGATGAGATACAATGCAAATATTGTTTCTGTGCTCAGGAGCACAAATGCAAACATTTCACAACCGTATCATCTTTAGGAAATCAAAACAATTCTTACCTTGGTTAAATTTGTGTTTTTAGTAAAAAAGTCATGCTATTCCAGCCCAAGGTGGCAGGAAACGTGCCATCTTCACTCGGCACAGCTTTCCAAATACCCCAGTGTTCAGCTAAGTCTAACTCTGCTCTGTTTTGTTTTCACAAGAGGACTCATTCAGCACCATGTGCTCCTTTTCAGCTGTCAATAAACAGAAGCAGTGAATTCCCCGGGGCTTCACAAAGCTAGTTAGGCACAGCCATTCATTTCTCCAGGAAAACAGGGCATTGATTTCAGAGAATTCCCAGGGAGCAGCTCCAACAAAGAGATCAAAGACCCACCTCCTCTCCTGCTCCGCTTTCGGACCGCCTGGCCGGGATGCACAGCGACAGGTTGCCCCAGGACGGGGCTCGAGCCCCCGGACCACCTCGCGCTCCATTCACGCTCATCTGCTTCCTACACCCCAGGGACAGCCCCCGGCGCGAACCATGACAAACCCCGGCATTCAGGCAGCATAATATACTGCACGCTAGTTCATCCGAGGATAAAAAGAAAAACAAGCTCTGAGGGAAGTCCATCGCTTCCCTCCTCCGTGGAGCCTCAAGAAGTGCCAGACATTTTATAACCTTCCCCCCCCCCCCTCTTTTTTTTTCCCCTTAGTTTCTCCATCAAAAACAGAGAAATATCGGCTGTCTCCAATTCATCACACTGAAACTTCACTGGGACTTCGGCATTTTTGCTTCATTTCCGCAGGCTTGAAGACATAGTTACTGAAGTCTGAGGTGCAGTCAGGGCAGCCCCTGTATTGTGTTGCCATGAAAT